AAAAGTTTTAGAAAAAAAACTTTTAAATGTGATAGATTAGATTTACCAACTGCAGATGAGAAATTGTTAGTTTTAATAAATAATATTGGTAATCAATTTATTAAGCTTACAACCACTTTACAATTTCTAACATTTTAGATGGTATCAATCACAAAAGCGATACCAAAAATTTTACACTCAATTTTATTTGTACATCTATTTCTTACAACTTTATACTATACTAACAGTTTACACTTCAAATTTATCACTGAAAAACTTATACCACTTTTAGTTACCAATCGATAACATTATGATTTCTAGTGAACATGACAAATGATATGCTGTAGCAAAAAGAAAAAGGAAAAATAATTGTCAGTGTCTTTTTGTCCAAAAACCAATATTAACACTTTTTAAAACCATTTTTTTTGTTTAGATTTAAATCAGTGAATGGAGCTGGGTTTGATCATGCATTGTAAGCAGGAACCATAAGAGTAAAAATGTCTTTCTCAACGTCTAGTCAATGATTGAGAAACGGACAAAATGATTTCTAAAACGCGTAAATTGTAACATTTAAAATGCAATTCTTCTTAGACCAAAAAAAAAAAGTGCAATTCTTTTTTTATAAATGCAGGCTCATATCTGACCACAAACTATACAAGTGATAGTGAACGCTATGATTACTGTTTATAAAAACGACATCGAAATCATTAAAATTAGTTTAGCAAAAAAAAAAAATTTATTTTTCATTTCTCAACCAAAATTGTTAATAATAATTTTCTAATTGAAGACATTTTTACGTTCTTCTCTAAAAAAGGAGTCGATGAATCCTTTAGGTTTATGTGTTTTGAACTCTAGTTTAGCTTGTTTTTTTTTTCCAACAAATTTACTTCATTCATTTAACCGATCAATATACAAAGGGAAGAAATTAAACATCCTCCAAAATTACTACAACATAATGAAAAAACAAGAAAGTATAAAGTAAATAGATCATCGCAAATGATGGACATCGAATCCAAAACATGCATCGGATGCGTAAGGAAGGTCTTCGCAGCAAAGCCGGAGAGTCTCAGGTTAGTCACTTTACCATGTGACTTTGAAGTTCTTGGCATAAAGCACGGGGGTTCGACCACTCTCCATGAGAGAGAAGAAAGTATGACCATGTTTAAAGAGATGAAAGAAGGTGGAATTGAACTCTTCTACCGGGAGTAAATTACAGGATTTGAGAATCCAGAAAACTTTGATATTCTCTCAATAGAGAAGATATCGAGCTCTCAAATTACTAGATTTGAGAATCCAGAAAACTTTGGCCCTCTCATACGTGGAGATATAAATCTCAACGATTGATGGAATGAAGCACAGTGAAGGCGAATTGGTCTCTCCAGGCTCGGGAGGAGGAGGAAGAAGCCACCTCTCGAACAACGGGAGAGGCACCTGGCGGAAGAGGTTTCGGAGGCGAGGGCTGCACAGGAGGAGGCATTTTCTTGGCCATCGATACGGGGCTGGCGTCGGAGACCAAGGCCAACGTCGGCGGTGAAGAGATTAGGTTTGGCTCAGAACTCAATGCGTCGCCTGTTTCACTATTTATGTTTAAAATTTTGTGTGTGTTTAGTTTAGCTTGTTTATTTCTCCAAATTTTTTTTATTAAGAATAAACTTGGTTATGATGATCTTGATAATGTTTTTAGCAAAAAAACAAAAAAAAAATGATCTTGATAATGTGTGTTCAAAATTACTAGTTTAATTCGAAGGACCTAATGTAAAATTTCCAAGATTTATAAAATATATCTATCATATTTTTTTTTTTGAAAATTTTTGAGAAATACCACTTTTTCAAAAA